ACATGGGGTTTGAAACAATCTCCCTTCCCTCTGCAGACACATAATTAGTTTCAAAGGCCATCATGGCACAACACTGACAATTAATTACCTCAAGCCTCAGCCTGCTCTTCTCCCTCCAGAGGAGTTTGCTGCCTCCAAACTTTAGAAACTGTTTCTTCATTGGGTCAAGAATTGCACTTAACCAGGATTGACTCCTGTAAAATCAGACACAAATGCAATTTTATAAACATGGCGATATATTCCCAACAACATCCACAGTGCATTGTAGAAGTTATTTGGAGGGATGGACTGGAAGCAACAGCCACCATGATGAAGAATCACAGTGAGTGCAATAGGGAGGGCAGTTTCATTTTATACCTGATTTAAGATCAGCTAAAACCTGATCTTAAAAAATCCCTCTTCCAGCTGCGCTCCCGTGTTTCCTTCACATTATCGTGCAGCTGCAGGGCACACAAAATAAGTCCACTTGTCCAAGAGAAAATAACTTACCAGAAGAATATCTCCTGCAAATTTTTACATTTTAGATTTAGTTCTGAAGGCAGTTGTGTAGATGTAATAGATTCTGGCAGTGCATTGGTCTTGGCCAGCCACTCTCACCCTCCTGTTCAAAAGGACAGTGGGAGGGCGGGGAGTTACAATGAAAGAGTAAATGGGTTGAGGTTATGAAAGGGAGATTCCTTGCCAAGTGCCATCATGGGCAAAACAGACTCAGCTTGGGGAAAATTAATTTATCATCAACTAAAATAGGTTTGGATAGTGAGAGACAAAGGCAAATTAAAACACCACCTTACCCCACAGTCTGTTACCCAGGTTCAATGTTACCCATCATCCCCAAATCCTCCACCCTTTCCTGCAAGAAGAACTTGTGGGGCTGTTTCTCACTTTTTTTTTTCGCTCACTCCTTGCTCCAACCTGCTCATCACAGCCACCACCTCGACACCTGCCCACAGGACAGTCCCAGAGGCAAAAGAGCTTACTTTTTGCTGAAAAAAAAAGCACAACATTTTCAAATATGGACAATTAGATCTCAACTTTAAATTGAATCTTCTCAAATCAATGGGGAGTGGGGCCACATCTCCATCACAGCATCACACTGTCCATCTGCATCAGCCACATACTTCTCACATTTTAAGGAGACAATCACTAAAACAATTTTCAATAGGATTTCTATCACAGGTACATTACATACAGAAGATGCTACAACCCAGACTGGTATCATGGTTTATTGGTACTAAACCCTGGACACTGTGGTTTTGCCACAGGTGAGCTGTACTGCAGCAAACCAGAATCCTTGCAGAGGACTCTGCTGTGATGGTATAGTATCAATATCATTCACGTGCATACCTGAAGTGAAACCAGGGCTGCAAAAATTATTATCTTCAGGAAAGCTGTTTAAATTATACAGTAATGCTGACAGCCCTTGGCTAATGAAGAGCATCATTGCTTGGCTGCAGCAGATTATTTGCCCAGAGGAGTCTGTGGTTTGGTTCTTCCATTTGGCTTGTTCGAGCCCTGCACACCCAAAAAATAGGTATGAGTCATCAAAACATCTCACATCACCTCACTTCCAAAGCCTCCAGTGTTGGCATCAAGGAACTCATAATGTTTGAGTCCTCTAAGACAAATACCTCCATGGGTGGTGTCCTGGCTCCACTGAAGCTGATGGCCAAGCTCCAAGTGACCTCACTGGGGACAGGATCCCACCTCAAACACGTCTTCATGCAATGCTTTCTGAAGCATTGCATTTTAACAACTTTGAAAGACTTTTTGTTTCAGAAAGATGAGTTTAGTTGGTCTCTGTCTGTTTTCCTATGTGGATATTTACAGCCACATAACTGAGACTTCTAAGGTAAAGGAGGGTATGGTGGTTAAGGAACAAAGCCATAGGAAAGCAGGTCTCACTGAATCTGCTGCTCACGTGTTTGCTAACAAAATTTATTTGGTTCATTAAGCAGAAGGGAGTGGGTGACAAACATTTATTGTGTTCAAATCACCCTTAAGTGATGCTAATGGCCTTTATGGGAATTTATCACCCAGGTTATGTGGAGATAAATGCTTGTGTCACTGTAGGATCTAAACCAATTAAACTCAGGGTACAAGTCGTCCTTATCTCTGTGTTATCTTGCAATGGAGTGAACAATCAAGCAGAGGGTTATTAGAGCAACACAACTGCCCACAAGCTTTCCTATAAAACATGAGCAAAAAGAGGTAAGTTTTGTTAATCAGTGGTGCTGCCTTTAGACCCACTGCAGGAGTCCTTTGCCACAAGTTTCCATATAAAATCTCAATACCATTTCCTCCAAGTTACAGGTTCTCACCATTTCTTGGCAGATTTGGACTCTGATATGAGGCAGTGACTGTTTCTCAATCCACCTGCAAGGCATCTCCAAAACCCTCCACTGACACTCCATGGAGGCTAAAAGCCAAATAAATTCTGTGTTTGTCCTCACTTTGCTGAAACCAAAATGAGTATTTCACACAAAAACCCTAGCCAGATAAAAGGTAATAGTTCATACTTTGTCTCTTCAAATATCCCTTGGAAGACAAGCCTTATTAGCACTGTGAAGGATAGATCAATTCTTGCCCAGGCTTCTTGGAAATTCTCACAACAATTTTCTCTCATTCTTTCTCTTCTTGCCTTAAAAATAATTTTGTTTGCCTTCTACCCACTTTACATTGATTCCTGTTCTCCCCTGTTGGAGAACTTCCTTTGCACACTCTACTAACAAGAGCCTTTATTTCCTTATGTAGCCACAGCATAAACATTCCCTTCAACTCTCCAGTTCTCTCCTAAGCCTTCTGCCAAACAACCTGGCCTGAAAACCAGGATATTTTCCTAAATTGTATTTTAGCCTGAAAGGTGACTCTCTATTGAATTAGGTATGGGAATGCAGCCACCAAAGGAATTACGTTGGTCCCAATACTGTTAAGAGTAACAAATCTTTTGAGACTGGGGAGATCCTTTTGAAATAGGGCTGCACATGGACTGCAAATGGTGTTCAGTTTTTTGCACACCTAAACACAGGCCATGCAATTCAGTGTCTTTGAACAGATAAATCACTGAATGACTAGAATTTTAGTGTATTTTGCAGACAGAAAGCAAAGGACTCACCTGACTACCACAAGAAATAGAAATTCCAAGTTTTCATTATTAAAATGTACAGGTATATACACTGGAGCTTCCCATCTAATCCTGTATCATTCAGATCAAAACTGAGCTCCAAAAACTGTCTAGTTGCACTATTTCCACATGCCACTGTGAAAAGCTCCACTTGTAATAGCATAATCAGCATTTTGGCTTCTTTTTCTAGACTTTGCTATTAACTTACATCTTAAATAATGATAGCAGTTATCACAGTCTTGTAAATACCCCTGGATTTATTACCAGTTTTGTTTCCTCTTAGGCTTCCTTCTCCTTTTCCCAGCATCTTCCATATTGTCCTTTAAAGACAAAGGGCTGCAGTTTCTCTAAATCAGGCTCCCTCCTCGTCAGTCTAATTTCTCATACGTCACAGCATTTACAGAGGTTAACTCACAAGCAGAGAACCATACACTTCATACTTACAGAATATCAAAACTGGAATTGAAATCACCTCTTAAACTTCTGTTAGTGTAACTAACCAGTCCTCCATGACTTGCTCAAGTTTGATATCCCTCATTGAAGGCCATGCTGTTAAGGTACATGTGCAAAGGAAGACAGAAAGTGGGTTGTATGTTAGGTTTGGTTTAGGTTGTTACAAGCTTCAAGCAGCAAAATTTATTATGGCCAAAGACTGACTACTCTGGCACCAACGTGTCTGCTACAAAATACTCTAGGACACGTAATTGTGTGTTTGAGTATAAAATCAACAGTATTCAAATTGTTTGTATTTATATACATTTCATCTGCTTCCTTTATAATTTTCACCAGCTACTGCTGTCAACTGTATAATTTCCTCTTGGACTATATCTGCTTATGCCAGTGGCAATGGTTACTCATCACGTACAAGAGTTTACAGACCATGTCATTGCAGAGTGTCTGTCCTCACCATTTATTTTTCATAAGCCCCTTCTAAGTTCAAAATAGAACTAGTAGCAGAATTAGATCCATAATTAAAGGAGTGTAAGATCTTTCATTGGCTTAAGTGGGAGTTGGATGATAGGAAATTCTGCTCCCATCAGACTTCACGATTACTGATACAGAAATTTGTATGTGCCAAGACAGTTTTCTTCTCCTAAGTGCCTTAGGCAGAAAGTCAGTTCTGTACCTGATCTGTGTTCTGTACCTTGTTTGTGATCCTCAAGACAAGAGAATCCTGTTTTTCATGTTTCCTCTAACCAGACAGGAGGAAAAACTGGACAATGAAAAGGCACACTGCCCAATTTCAAACAATGATTCCTAAGTAGCTTCCTAGACAAGCCTGTCTTTTTTTTCACCAAAATATAAGTAAAATTGATAGGAGTATTAGATAGATGTAAAAGCAAAACATAAAAATCCCATGCTGGAATCCAAACCTCCAAAAAGAGATATTAAGCAAGGGGAAGAAACAATTATCAATTTACATTTTACAAGCCATTCTGCCATGCTTAACCCATGAAAGAGTGAATTTATGCCAAAGTTGCTATGACGGCAACATGGAACAGCACTTCTAGGACGAAAGTAGCTAACACTGCTACCTGAGCTTTTCTAACAAAAGGCCATTTTCAAATGTGGATTTGTACAAACCCATACACATCATCTTCAGTTTTTCACTCGCCACATAGTGAACTGTCCACACAATCATTTCATGCTGCATGTCAGAGAGGTTTAAATGACAACACAGCTTCTTTGCTGCAACATTTTCTGAGTATATCACTGAGGATCCAGTCTGGTATTTTGGGACAGATGCATTCCACCTTGATGTTCCTGCAACCTGGAAATCCAGTTTCATATTATTTACAGAAATGTATGGAAATAGCTTCACCTATAGGGCTACACTGATATCACAGTTAAAAAACCACACACATATGACAGCATCTCAAGTATGCTGCAATGTAACAGTGAAAATTACTCAGGCTATTAAAAAAATTTATTCTTTTCCATGAAAGATTGGTACTACAATCAATATAACCATTTCATCAGTCAAGTATGTCTGTTATAGGCAGGCACAACATTACAAAACAGGCAAGTACAATGCCTGATTAAGCGAATACAGTCTGAATATCTATTCATCCACTATTTCTGAAAACAGAATTATCAAATATCCACCAGGGAAAACGATGAACTGTTTTAATTTAATTTCTCTTTGGCATACTTATCAGGACAATGAATTAATTACAAAAGTCTTCTATTGCTGCCAGTGCTGTGAAGAAAAAAAGGACTGAATGGAAGGCTGCAAGTCAGAACTCACTCTTAGGACTCAGGCAATCTGGCCAACGCATCACAACTGCTGACACACGACAGTTCAGCTGCCAATGCTTCACGAGGCAGACAAGGATTACATTGTTTGATACTGCAGTTTTGTTGAAGGTATCAAAAGAGTTACAGTAAATTTATGCACAGTACATACATATTACACACAGTTATAAATACCCATGCTGTGGCTGGACTTTGGGAAGTTGCTTCCCCAATACGAAAGCTGGAAACAGATCTCCCACCAGCCACTGAATACACATTGCACTTCGCATCCAGTAATATGTTCATTTCTGTACCTCTCAAAAATAGATTTAAAACAGAAGCAAAGAATAATATCCAATCTTTCCATAAACTTTGTTTTCTTATTTACACTGTAATAGTCCATTATACATAAAGACTGCGTTACGATACATTATCTTCATATAGCTTTTTGCAATACATACAGCTTGGAGCTATTAACATCTTAGTTTGGAAACAGAGATATGACCTATAAGAGTATTTAAAAATAATTTGAGCCTTAATATTGCTCTAGTTTGTTTCACTGAAACCATTCTTCAACAAAAAAAAAAAAAAACCTCCTTATTGGGGAGGAAAAAAAACAACTCATGTTTAAACCATTTCTGCATTTCCTTAAACCACTAAGAAACTTCGAAACCATAACCATTTTTTGCATAACTACAGAGCCACTTCAAAGGCTTGTTACTTTTAAATTTAGAACATGAATGACAATTGCGACCATATCTTTAAATTAAATAATTTTTTAAAAACCTTTCAGTTATTTTTAAAACATTAAGCAATGAAAATGCAATCATTAATTATACATGACCTTTGCACAACAAGGGAGAGTTCCTATTTTATTGGGGGGAAAAATGAACATGCACATTCCCCCATTCACAGAGTGAGAACGTAAACTACAGCAGCACTTGTCTCAAGTTATGGTGCACATTGTTGCATTACGGAGTACAAAACAAGAGTAGAATTTCCAACATTTGTTAAAACACAAAAAAAAAACCTTATTGTACAAAAAGTCATTCACATTCTTTGCAATGAAGTGAGGAATCAGCTGCTTTCTGGACTCTCCAGCCTGCAAACTCCTCCTTCTATTGCCACAGACTGTCCTGCCACAGCTCCAGGAGGAAGTCTTGAAATGTGAGTCTGCGGAAAAGTCAAGAGAGTATTATTGAGTGAGGAGAGGCAAAATTATGCAGGACACAAAATAAGCTTGTAAGTATTGAACAGTTAAGTGGTTCTGTCATTGAAGTCTGAAGACAAACTACAAAGCAACTTGAAAAGCTGCAAACAACTGAGATTTTTTTTCTATTTTGTTTGCATTAATGTTTAACACATGAAGACAAGGACCATGACAGATGTGTGGAAAAGGTAAACTGGATGATCCAGTGCACTGAAAGCAGAAAGGAATGTTCAGCATGAAGATAAAAGAAAATAACTGTAGCATTTCATGGTTTATAAGCACTTTTTTTCAGGGAGATTCAAAAGAGTTTAGTACTGCATACAGAAATAACCCTTGCAGAAATCTCAGACACAATAAATTATTTGACAGATATAAACTAACACTTCAGAACGTAAGAAAACTGCAGTAATCAGGATATAAAGAAGAAATTCCTCTGCATAAAATATCTACTTGCCCACCTAAACAATCCCAAGGATTTCCCCTAAAATATTTGTTGCCAACTATCAAATAAATTAATCCAAAGAACTGTGTTGCTGCCAACAGGCATCTCTTTCATAGAGATGGCTCTGAAATATTTTAGCCAGAAAGTCAGCACATGTGTCTGTGTACAGAAAACTTCAGTTTATAACTCGATTCTAACTCAGTGATTCTAAAAATCTGATAACAATCCTTTATATACTGAGATCCATTTCATTACTGATGGGCAAAAGCATCCACTTATGAAAAGACACTTTGACTCACTGTTAAAAGCAATCACTTTTTTCCCCCTTGCACATGTTTTTATACTTGAAAACTGCTCATGTTACATTAAATTAGGAACTAGAAGTGATTCCTACTGTGGTATAAAGCCCACAACACAGAATTTGCTGCCATTGAGAAATTACAGCTTCCCCTGAGTGCAGCCCATCACATATTTAAGTTTTTGCACATATATTATCCCATTTAAAAGATTTAAGTGTTGCAAAACGTCAAATTTGCAATAAGGCAATGGGCTGTGACAAAGTATAGATGTAAAAGTTCAGTAAGGATAATTTGAATCAGTTGAGCTCAAAGGGATTTGAGACTGTAACCACAGTTCATAGCACTGAAGAGACATTTCATGTCTCAGAGACAGCTTCTTTTAATTCCTTTCTTGATAAGGATACCCTGGTGTCTGCTCTTAGGTGGTCTTGTTTTCAGCTAAATTACAGAATGAGACTTAATTAAAAATATTTCAATTTTTTCATTTTACTGCTAAAACTTTGATCTCTGGCCTTCCTGTTTGATATATGAACATCTTCCTACTTTCAGGACAATTTCAGTTACAACTGTCATTTACCACTTCAAGAAGAAAAGACTCTCTTCAAATCTTTTAGCCTCCCCAAAATCTGACAATTTTTCTGTAAATGTTATTCCACAAATTTAAAGAGAAAAAAAAAAAAGAAAATTACATGGAAGGATAATGTTATGACAGACAGAACTAAGATCTTTTTGCAGGTCTGTGAAAATTTCTAAACGAAGAAGTGGGATAGGATGACAATATAAAAGCAGCACAATGGGCACAGCAGCAAGTTTCTTCAGAGTAAGAATGCCACTGGTTGTTTAGTGTGATACTGCCACCGAAGCAAAGCAGTAAGTTAATCCTGGTAAGTTTTTGAGGAAGGAAATGAAAATATACAAGAGGGGATAACCAGGTAGTCACTATCAATATATTATCAAGCAACTATGGTTAAATAGCTGTCCAGAGCACACTTCCCATACAAAACCTCATTTCCTCTATGGTTCCCATACACAAGACCCCAAACCACTATACACCAGCATCTGTACACTTCCATTTACAGAAACACTCAAACCACATATAACAAAACCTTTCTTAAAGACTTGACTTGCATCCTGTTTATTTGCATACTTTATATAAAGGAGTAAACACAGATGCTGGTTTACCCTAACTACTCTTCACTACTTTCACCAATGGCTGCCTTATGGAGAACAGAAATGAGACAGATCTAAGATGATCGTGTTTAAAATATGTTACTCAATAAGTAATTTGAAAGGATAACATTGCCATGTCAAGACAACTTCAGAAGACTCCCAAGTGAATTCTTACAACTGTATCTCCCTTGTTCTTAGCCATAAGAACAAACTTAAGTAAATAAAAAGAAACATCAAAGAACACTAAGCATTTTTAAATGAACTACAGAACTTATTTGTACAGTTTGTTATATTTTTATATCCCAACATCATATTTTACATTAAGTCCAGATTGTACAGCCAATTAGGTTTAGATTTAAAACCATAAAAACAAAAAGCAAACAAAACAGAACTGGAAAGGTTTTAATTGAATTCAATTAGTCTGTCAGCTTTACAAGTCGAAGGAACCCCACCTGGGAGAAATTGTGCCTGGAAGCTCAAAAAAAGGAAAATAAAGTTATCCTGAATTTACCCTCCACTCAGCCTCATGGAAGCCTCTCTTTGAGGAAACTATATGCCACGGAAAGGTAGATTAAGAAAGATAGCAATCCATATTTTCAGCTCCATAAACAGCAATTTTACTCTCCCAAGTATATGCTGATTTGATTTGCTTTCCAAGAGAAAGCAAGGTTAGTGAGGGGCTAGCAGAAGCTGAAGTACCAACAGCTAAGACACCAGTTAGTTACCACATATTTTTGCTGCAGCTTAAAGGTTACCTTGTGCTCATAGTTCCAAAGGGAAAAAGGCAAATGTTAGATAAAATACTTTATTTTGCTTCTCGTCCCTCCATGAAGCACGAACAAGCTAATCATCCTTCAGACACTGATTCTTGCTCCATATACTTGCCATTCAAACACACAGTGTTTCCCTCTTTAAAGACAGCCAAAGGAGCTACCTGAACTCCAATGCTACAGACACTGGAACATTCCTATCTCTCAGTCCCTTTTGATGCACACTGGAAAGTTTCCTACTATCCTTCAAGTCCAAAACTAACAGGTCTTTCTGCCCTGGAATAAATGTTAACTGCTAAAGGGACAACAAATGGTTTCATCTTTTCATCATGAACATTTGATCTACTTTTCAAGTTGGAGCTACCTGAACTCCAATGCTACAGACACTGGAACATTCCTATCTCTCAGTCCCTTTTGATGCACACTGGAAAGTTTCCTACTATCCTTCAAGTCCAAAACTAACAGGTCTTTCTGCCCTGGAATAAATGTTAACTGCTAAAGGGACAACAAATGGTTTCATCTTTTCATCATGAACATTTGATCTACTTTTCAAGTTGCATATTTCTAGTATACCTTTTTTTAAAAAAAATAAATACTACAAGTTGTGCCAAGACTTACTTTACTTCATGTCTCCTAGACAAAGATTCTGAAAAAACCTTGAGACCGACTAATATTGAAATTTTTTTTAAAAAAGAGTTAGTCTCCTCCTCTTAGTCACATAAAAGTATTAGTTTGTCACAACAACTTTGGAGGCTTTTTCCATTAAAAGCATAAATACAATGCGAAATGAATATAAAATTTAAGCCAAAAGAGAGACAGTGCTGCATGAGGAAGCTGAAGTCAATCACATGCTGCCAAGAGGACAGAGTACAACTACCAGATGGCAGCACATTCAGTCCTTAAGCAAATCTAGGGAGTACTTCATGTGTTTAGGTCTCTTATTACATGCTCAGGATGTACTTTAGACAGAATAATTTATAAAACAAATTTTTTCCATTCATTACACTATTGAGATGAAATATAATGAAAGACCAAGGACATCATATCCTTAAGGAAATTGCCTTCTACAACTTGACTCCTTAAGAAAAGCACTACCAAACCCATATACTCTTTAGAAATTTAGAGCTTGCTAGCTGGGTACATCCTTACAGCAGGAGAACCATCTGGCCATGCATCCTCAATTTATTTTCTAGGCCCATTTTGGCAGGACAACCATCCTCTGCTGCTCTGTCTCTTGGGCAGTACTCCTCCAACAGGGTTTCAATGTACACCTGCAGTATGACAGGACAAGGTGCTCCACAAAACACTGGCAACTGCTACGATCAGAATATTCACTGTGCAACTCATATGGTGAAAACTCAATAAAGAAAAAAACGGAAAAAAAATACATCAAAAAGAGAGGCTCCAGAATGATTGTCCGTGGTAGCAAAAGACAGAGACATACTGATGGGGCACTTCTGGCTGTCAGGCACTGAAAACATTGATTCTATGTATATGTTGCTTAGGAAGCTAATGGTTTTTCAAGCTCAAATTCATTCGGTGGATTAAGTATATTACTATACGCTATTTATGTAGCTAAAAACATAATTTTAAGTGCTATCGTAGCACTGAAGATCATTTCCAACAAATAGCAAACCTTATTTTTATGAGGACTCAATGCTCCACTGTATGCACAGAGGTCTTTTCAAATGAAAACTTCTGACTCCCCAGTCTCCAGACAAGAGTGCAGATTAAAGAAAAACAGTGTAACAGTGACATATGCTTTTCCTGTCTCAAAGCTAAAAGACTGTCTCTGTAGTCTGAAATGAATGACTGAATTACTTGACTTCGTGTTTCTGTTCACTAAACAGGCTCAGTAAATTTTTCCACTAATTTTCAAATTAGAATTAGGATTCTTCCAAGCTGTGTTCCTTCGCCCAATGAGCACTGGATAACTGCCCTTCTCCTGGCAAACAGCTTTCACAGACCTTTCACTCACAAAGCAATACAGAGAAGCTCATCCACAGAAACCAACAACAATCACTGCAACCAGTATTTGTCATGTATATCACTTTAAACATAGAGGGAAAGACTTACACTAGATTTTAAAGCATCAGTAAAGGCAAATAAACCTGATGACAACACCTAACATCCCCACAGAAAAACTGAACTGGAAATGGTCTCCCTGTCCACTGTGTTTCCCCATATTGGAAAGTGAAATTAACTGTCAAAGATAAAAGTTTCTGTTTGTGTATCGCAACCACAACATTAAGTGTAGACAGCAGTTGCTGCTGATGGATGTA